TGCAGTATTTGTGACTGAGATGTTTCATCAGCAAAATGTCCTCTAGGCCCACTCATATTGTATAATTTTTTATGAGTTCATTGGTTTTTTTAAAAATTTTTTTATTGTATTATTTTTACGTGTACCGTCAAATCAGATCTGACTGGTACAGGAGGAGATTGCCCCCTCCTTCTCCAGCAGAGCATCTAGTGGGTTTGAACCACGTACCTCTGGGATTGTAGTGCAGTGCCTTGCCACTAGGGAGTTCATTGTTTTTTAATGCTGCATAATATTTCATTGTGTGCATCTACCATAGTTTTTCTATTCATTTGTTGATGGGGACTTGGGTTGCTTCCACCTCTTTGCTATTGTGAATAGTGCAACAATAAACATAAATGTGCAAAAATCTGTTTGAGTTGTCACTCTGGCTTCTTTAGGGTATATTACCAGTAGTAGAATTGCTGGGTCAAATGATATTTTTTTTTAAATGGTATTTTATTTCCAGCTTTTTGAGAAAGTGCCAGACTGCCTTCCATAGTGGTTGTACCATTTTACATTCCTACCAGAAGTGAATAACGGTTCCAATCTCCCCACAGCCTCACTAGCATTTTTTGTTTGTTGCCTGGTTGAACTTTGGTATTGTTGCTGGGATGAAATGATAAATCATTGTTGTTTTGGTGTTCTAAATTTTGAAGGAGGTATTTGAGTTTTTCTGGTTTTAATCTGATAGGACTCTATGCTGATTGTTGTTGTCCTTGTTAGGGGTCATTCAGTCTTGAGTCATGACTAACTCTATGTACAACAGAATCACACTCTCCTGATTCTGTGCCATCCTTACAATCATTGCTGCAGCCACTGTATCAATCTTTCTCATTGAGCATCTCCATATCTTTGTGGACCCTCCACTTTCCAGAGCGTAGTGTCCCTCTTCAGATACTGATCCTGATAACATATCCAGATTATGTGAGACAAAGTCTTTGTATACCTGCTTCTAAGAAACATTCTGGCTGTACTTCTTACAATGCGGATTTGTTTCTTCTTCTGGCATTCACTATTTTTAATAATAGCCAGCATCATATTTTAAAGGCATCAATTCTTCCTCAGTCATCCCCTGTCATTGTTCAAGTTTTGCATGCATTGCAAAGATGACTGAATGTTGCTCCGGAAGGCGCTCATCCTTGGTTAAGGACATCATGTTTGAAAGGGTGGTGAGACAGCAAAAGAGAGGAAGACCAGGTGGATTGACACAGTGACTATAGCAATGGGTTTGAGTGTTGGCACAGGATAGGACAGCGTTCAAATCTCTTGCTCATAGGGTCGCTATGGGTCAAACTCTATTAGATGGCACCTAACAACAATAAGGTGATTGAAAATACAATTACTTGAGTCAAGTACACTTTAACCTTTAACGTGACATCTTCGTTTTTTTAACACTTAAATGAGGTCTTTTGCAGAAAATTTGCCCAAATGCAATAAATTAATTGAATTCTTGATTCAAATGTTGCTTTCGTGGGTGCTGATTTTAAATCTAAGTAAAATAAAATTGTGACAACCTCAACATTTTCTCTGCGTCTCATGATATTGTGTACTGATCCAAGAGAACTTTTGTTTTATGTTGAAGTGTAATCAGTATTGACAGTTGTCATCAGGGAAGCACCACTTCAAGTCCTCTTCAATTTCAGCAAAGTTGTTATCTGTGTATTTCGGGCTGTTACTGAGTCCTCCACCAAACCTGATGTCTCTTTTTTTTATATTCCTAGTCCGGTTTCTCATATTACTTTCCCGGTATACAAGTTAAAGAAATACGTTGAAAGGATCAGACCCTGACACACAAACTTTGCCTGGTTTTTATCCATCCAGTGTGCCTTTGTTGTATTCCAACAACTTTAGCTTTAGTTTCTTATCTATGTACAAGTTCTTCATGAGCACAATTATGTTGTTAGATGCTGTGTAGTTGACTATGACTCATAGTCACCCCATGAACAAGCGATCTGAACACTACCCTATCCTGTTCCATCCTCATAATCTCTGCCATACTTGAATTCATTCTCTTTTTCACTGACCCTCCAGCTTTCCAACATGATGTCCCTTTCTAAGGACCGGCCCCTCTTAACAACATGCCCAAAATATTTGAGATGCCGTTTCACCATCCTGGCCTCTAAGGGGCACTCGATTGCACTTTCTCCAAGACAAACTGGTTTGTTCTCTTGCAGTTCATGGAATACTCAATACTCTTCTCCAGTACTACAATTGAAAAGCATCAGTTCTCCTTCTGTCATTTAGTCATTGTCCAACTTTCTGATGCATAGCAAGTAATTAGGAAAAACATGGCTTTAATCAGGTGCATCTTAGTCTTTAAACTGACATAATTGCTCCTTATCACTCCAGAAAACTCCTTTGCATCATATTGTCCCAGTGCAACAGGTCTTTTGATATTTTGGCTGCTGGTACCAAGGAAATGGGGATCCAAGTAAAGTAAAACCATTAAGTCTCATTTGTTAAGAAGATTATCTCTACCCCATTTAATGGATTTAGGCATTTTTCACAAATTAGATGTTCATATATGGATGGATTTATTTCTGGGTTCTCAATTTTGTTTCATTGGTCTTTGTTTGTAATTGTACCGGTACCAGGCTGTTTTGACTATTGTGGCTCTATAGGAGGTTTTGAAATATAGAGGCATGGTGTCTCCTATTTTCTTTTTCATTTTTGGTAGTGCTTTTCTTATCAGAGGTCTATTTCCTTAACATATGAAACAGTTTTGTTGATTTTGAGGTGATCTGTTGTTTGTTTGTTTGTTTAGTTTCCCCCTCCCCATCACTTTAAAGAATTACAGTCTTTCATCTTTTGTTGCTTCCTTTGCTGTTCTTCATGCCAGGGTCCCAGAGCTAAGATTTAAAATTTCCTTATAAATTGTGCCTTTTCTGGTTTTCCACCCTGCTGAAGCTAGAGGTCCCAGTAGGGACCAAGTGATCCATACGCATTTAGAGAAAAGATAACCTCCAAAGAAAATTTTTTAAATTCTTTCCTTGCAATTCACTGGCTTTTCCCTCTTTAAGACTATAGTTATGTTAATAACTAACCCATTGCCAGGGAGCCCTGGTGGCCTAGTGGCAAGAAACTGTGCTGCAATCCTAAAGGCACATGGTTCAACCCACTAGCTGCTCCATGGGATAAGGATGGACAATGGCCTCCCATGTGATTTATTACCTTGAAAACCTGCTGCAGGGTTAGCTATGTGTTGAATCTGACTCGATGGCATACAACAATAACCAAAGCCCATTGCTTCTGAGGTCCCAACTCTTCTCACTATCTCTTAGTTGTTGGAATGGACGAAAACCTCATAAGCAGTTCCTTACTTCACCTCTGCCTTGCATGCAGACTTCCGAGTTGTAAAACAACCCAGTGGTAGATGAAATTTGCTCCAGGACTTAAGAACCATAAATGACATAGCTGAACCTCTACACTATAATAGACAAAGTGCTAGTCTATAGGCCTTTTATTGTAAGAACCACCTTCTTTCTGTAACTTGATTTGTGCCACTATTGGAACCTCTACTCGGAATGTTACTGCTTTTTAATTTTTGACTCATGTACTTTTAACTTGTTAGCTAAATTTGTGTCTTCTAGGCTGTAACACTTCCATGATACATCTTCAAGGATATGAGCACGTACGGTTAAGCGCAATTGATAACAGTGCATCTAAATTCCAAAATCAATCTCCATAATAGTCTATGTGTTTCCTACTGCCAAAGGGGCCCTTTAGAGTAGTGAGAGAAGATCTTCACCCTGAAACCCACAGCGTCCCTTTTCAGCAGGAAGTAGCTAAAAGAATACGCCATCCCCTTTTCCTTATGAATCAGGATGAAGTTTCTCTCAGGGAGGAGTGATAGGGAATGGCAAAGGACACACTGACAAAGGAGATTAATCAGAACTGGCTTTGACAAGCACTGTGGCAATTGGACAATTAAAACAGACATTCAAGGGGGGAAAAAAAAGAAGAATGAACTGGGGAGGAGGGTAGAGAAAACAGTGCGACAATGAATGAATGAAAACCCAAAATCTTTGTAAATGTTCATTAAAACTAATAAAATTTAATAATAATAATAAAAAAAGACCATTGCTAACCAGTCAGTTCTGAATTCATAGTGACTCTCTGTAGATTCTAAAGAATTTTCAGTCGCTAGTTTTTTAGAAGTTAATAGGCCTTTCTTCTGAGGTAACTCTGAGTAGATTTAGACTACAATTTTTTTTTTGTCATAGTTGAACATTTAATGTTTGTGCCATCCAAGGACTCTTAGACTACATGGAATGATGTAGTAATAAACTAGTTACTAAAGAGGCAACAGTCCTCTGCCTTCCCCCACTCACTCCCTTTACCAGCCTCTTGTGCCCTCTCCTCTCTCCAGGTTTGCATTTTGTGTTTTTGTTTGTTTTTTTCTTTTCCATGGAATTCTTAAAACCTCCTTGTATTCTCTATCATTTCAACAATTTTTCATCCTTTCATTCCTATCGCTGCCTTCCACAAATCACATCCATCCATCTGCCTAGTTAGACAAATCCCCCACCTCCCACATGATACTGAATTTTGGAGAATGGTCACATCGTAAAGTACCACTCTAGAAGGAGAACACCCCATTTCCTGCCTTTAATGGCCTCCATTTCTCTAGGCTTCCTCTCCTCAGCTCTGAAGCCAGCATGGGAAGATTCCCAGAGGAGAGCATTTGCAAAGTGCTCTGAGTGCTTTGATTAAATTGATTGGATGAATGGAAATATTAATTCCAACTTCTCCAGCTTAGAAAACAAAAGAATTGTTTAAAAGCAATGACTCACTCACCATTTAACAAATGGTGAACATCCTTTGTAATTATAAAACATTATTCCACCGGAGATTCTGTGCCCCTCAACCAGTGAAAACTAACATGCTTGATTTGAAATAACTGGTAAATGTATTTTCTTGGTAACTTTAAAGCAACCCTTTTACTATCAATGATTGATTTACTATTTTGTTTAATGTTCTAGCTTCTCTCCTGAAGGGTTTGAAGCATGCCAACATTGTGCTCCTGCATGACATAATCCACACCAAAGAGACACTGACATTCGTTTTTGAGTACATGGTGAGTTACTCCAGCATTTTACAGAGCATAAGGAAAGTGCCTAGTGCTTGCATAATGAGTCTGTTAATATTTCATGGTGTGATAAAACTTTCATTACAGTGTGAAAGGTATCCTGGAAATTTTCATTATTATGATTAGTACAGCCTTATTGTTTTTATAACCACTCTTCAGACTTCTTCTTTACCCACTGCTTTTGCTATCTCCTTATCCCTCAGAAACAATAAATAAATAAGCATTTTGAGTATGCCTCCTAGATAACTCTTTTGTCTTCATGAGTCACAGAGTTTTTGTTTTTGTTTTTTTAATTGCATACAAGCTTAGTAAGTTACAATTTGTTTTGTGCTTTTGAGAAGAGGGAGATATACAAATAAGCAGAAAGCTGTCACAAGAGTCTGTGTACTTGGCTTGCCACCAAAGACACTCAGAGAGAGATAAATCCCTGTGTGACTGGGTTTGGTAGCAGCCATTTTAAATGAGCATGTCTTTGGTCAAAAACAGGCTTCCTTTTAAGAGTAGCCACATTATGTTTACGCTCAACAGTAGAGTCTCTGCAAACCTGGTTATGTTCCTTTGCACCCTACAGTCAAAAGTTCTGACCTTCACAATGGCTTCTGTCAGTCAGGTCTATGTATTGTATCAGGATTGACTCACCAAGCATGACTAACCCCATTCTCTCTCCCCTTTCTCTGGCACTGTCCAGCACACAGATCTGGCCCAGTATATGTCTCAGCATCCAGGAGGGCTTCACCCTCACAATGTCAGGGTGAGTATTGAAGGGTCAGGACTCTCCACTGTCTTATCCACAGCAGGAGAATATTGAAATGGGCTGTCACCACAAAGTTCCATAATGCTAAACAAGAAAATGGACATTCCTGATATTCTAGAGACAAGTTTATAATTTTGCTAAAATTCCCTTTCAAGATACAGCACAATAGGGGAGCTCTGGTGGCCTAGTGGTAAGGACCTGCAACTACAATCCCAGAGTCGCACGGTTCGAATCCACCAGATGCTGTGCCAGGAAAGGAGGGACAATCTCCTCCTGTACCAGTCAGATCTGATTTGATGGTACACTCACACAAAAATAACAATAAAAAAAAAGAATACCATTTAACAACAACAACAAAAAAAAAGATACAGCACAATGTCTGGTTGTTCTCTGGGTGGTCTGCCTCTGTGTGTCAGTCACTGTCATCATGCAGATTTGGTTTTATAAATATAAACTGAGAGAATGACATCAAAAGGAGAGAGTAAAGTTAGGTCTTCCTGCAGTCCACTATGATAAACTTTCTGTGATACTTAACAGTTCCCCACTAGAATTAGCGAACAAAATACTCTTGTTGGGTCTTGATCAGTTACTCTTTTGCCTGTTCTATCAGTTCCTGTTATGCATATGGGATCAACTTCCTTC